TGTTGATTTGTGTGTGTGTGTGTGTGTGTGTATCACACAGTATATCCCAAACCATCTTATTCAACTATATACCCACTTCCCAGATGGCACCCCCTCCCATAGCCTCCCTCCCCCCACTTGAGCCCTTATACTCTGATATCCCTGCTACTGTCTGCTGTGTTGTCAGCGCCCCCAGCCATTCCCAACTACTCGCCCTTCTGGTGAATCTAGTCATCCTATCTAGAGGTCTTTGTTTTAGGAGGGTCACCTATTCCTCTTCTAGCAGCAATCAGTTGTCAGTACTCCTTTAGATAAGATTGGGGTCTGCTGTTCATTTTCCCAGTTCCATGCTGGGTTACTATCTGGGAGTCCTTTGGCCACCTTGGACAACAACTCAAAAGAAGGTATCTCCTATCTGGCATTGTTGCTTGTTATGTAGCCTTTAGTTATGCATATGGACTCTTAAGAAATTATATTGACCCCTTTAGTCTTTGGTTATACTTTCGTTTTGGATGTTTAAGGCCATACAGTTGGCCCAGATAAACCAATTTAGTTTTGCTCATAAAGCCGTTTGAGGATCTGTTTCTCAGGGGTCACATGGGCTTGGGAGGAGCCCCTGGCTCCTTTCTTTTACCAGTTCCACCTATATGAAGATAAGTCAAAGGTCCTGCTCGGCCATGGTTGGCTTCGCTTGGAAGCAAGGAGGAAATGATTCCTCTGTATTGACCATCCTCTTTGTAGACTGGACACTGGTTCAAGTCCATCTGGTGGGGTCTCCTCGGCCTCCTTGATCAAGAGGACAGGTGACCCACCACCACTATAGGACATTTTGAGAGATGCTCATAGTCCCCTGGAACTAGTCAACTTAGAAGGGCAAGGAGAAAAAACTGTCCTTTATGTCCCTCTGACCAAATTAGTATAGGCCTCAAAGTATGTCTGTTAAACATCCAAGAAGGTTAGTTCCACCAGTCTGGTACTTTTAATTACTGTGTGTCATGTAGCTAGATCTTGGGAAAAGACCAGTTATCAAATAAACCTTACCTAGACATATATTTCTTAATCTGCTATGTATAATTTGTCAGTAGGTTGCAGGAGTAATATGGTTCCCTCTGGTTTTCAAAACTAGCTAGGCATTGTTTATCTCTCTCATTGTCTCACCCCTCCATCATAGTTTTCCCACTTGAGGTGCCCCCATTTCCCCCCTTTCTCCTGTAATAATACCCTTCTCCTACAGTCCTACCTCTCTTGAGCTCCGTCTTTCCCCTTATCCCCTAGGTTCCTTGTATACCCTTCCCTCCCCCCTCCCTTAAACTAACCCAGTTTTTATCCATATTTCCCTTATTAAGGCCTGTTTCCTACTGTTCTTCTCTTTCAG